TGACTACAAAATAAGTACCTTATATGATAGCAAAATTGAGCATTTGTACAATTTGTGATATAGTAAGTCAAAATAACAATTTTGCTCATTAATATTTCATTATTCTATCTTGTGAAAATTGTGATGCAGAAAAAAAAAATCAAAACTATTCCAGAACATCACACCTGTGTCTGAGTCTGAATCTTGTTGAAATCTCTTGTCCTCCTGAGGAGGCCCAAAGTCTCTGAAAGAAGATAAACTTTTTAGGTTGTTTATTGAATATGACACAACTAATCCTATGTATGAAAGGAATCCTTAATAATGTCTAAAATATATAACCAAGATAAGAAAAAAAAGCAGTTATTAAAAGGTAATGTGAGAGGATTGCTGTTAGATGCAACTCACCCTGTTTTAGCAGAGCTTGCCCAGCCCCCTGCTCGTCTTCCTGCTGGAGGTCCTGAAGTTGGAGGCACATGCTGAGAAATTAAAGAAAATTATATATCAACATGGTTTATGATGAAAGCTGGTGAGAAAGGAGCAGATGAGAAAGAACAATATGCCCTGGGGTTTTCATTCATTCTCCTCTTACAATGTGCAAATCACTAACTGTATAAATATATTCTTCACCTCTTCATAATTAATAACATCCTTTCACACCATGGCTAAACCATCACTCATATTGGGATGCTGTTTTATCAGCTGAACCTGTTCAAACTTGTCTGCCTTAAAAAGTTGCTCACTTGTTTGGCCTTGAACAAATGAGTGAACAACTTGTTTGGTGCATCCCTAGCAGCAAGATATATGGGTAGTGTCATAAGCAATATTACTATTGTAGTAACACAGCACAATCAGTATCAAGCACATTGAAGTTACACTTTTGGTAGAGTTACAGAAAATGTAACAAGGTTTGTATATGCATATACAAACCAGTATACATTACTTCAAAACAGGAAGACAGATGAATACTGTTAATTTTTTTCTACTCACTTACCTGTGGTGATGCTGCATTACTTGTCACTGGAGAAGCAAATAAGTCATCTGAAACACCTAAGGAGTCTGGCCCTGAGTTTCCTGCTGCTCTTCTACCCTTTCGTGGAGAAGCCTATTGGACAAAGATGTTACTTTAAAGCATCATTCTGTAACACTACTGCACTCTCAAGGCAAATAATACATGGAAGTGAAAGAGAAAAGGACTCTAAGAAACATCTATGTACTTCCATCACAAATGAAAAATAACATTATTTGACACACAAGTATGAGTGAAAAGAGAAGAAAGTTAGTAACAATTAAGTTTCAACCAGCCATTATTTGTAAGGCAAATAACATGCAAATTTAGAGCAAATAAATGTAAGAAACTTACCTTCTATGAATATCCGTTGAAAACGAAAAATAACAGTTAATCAATTGACAAGTGTCTGATACCATAAAGAAAAACTCATAAAAATCAAATATATTTCATCATAATTGAATATTCAAAAGTGCAACTACTAACATAATTGAAAACTATTTGGTGTAGTGGGCAAGATAGTATAATAAGTAATATTTACTTGGTGTAAGAGTAGTTTCTAACCAATTCAATAAGAATCATGACCATAAAATATTAACAAATTAGGCTCTTTCAAATTCTTGACGGAAATTTCTTCTCGTTTCCTTAATAAAAATAGCCTATATTTTCGCCCACACTATCTTACCTTTTTGTTAACAGGAGAAAGACTGAATTCCAATGAATCCATTTCTCGTGGCGTTCTTTGAAATTACGAAAAAGCGCAGGAGATTTTACTCTGTCAAGGGCTACTACTTCTTATCCAGGACGCTGAAGCCGAGTTCCCAAAAACACGTCTGGAATTTGTTTGTTTACATCTGCCGTAGCGATTTGTGTTGCGCTCGCTGATTGGCTGAGACGAATACCTTTGAAAACTGTCGTGTGATTGGCTTAGATAGAAAAGAAATTCGAGTATGATTAAAAATAATTACCTATTTGTTCGTACACGTGCATTTGCATCTGTCTATCTGTCATTATGTGTATTACAGTAATAGTAATTCCAGTAATAGTAATGATGATGATAATAATAATGATGACAATAATAATAATAATAATAATAATAATAATAATAATAATGATAATAATAATAATAATAATAATAATAATAATAATAATAATAATAATAATAATAATAAAAGTAATAATAATGATAAAAAAGAAATAATGATGACGATGATGATAATGATAATAATAATAATAATAATAATAATAATAATAATAACAATAATAATAAAAGTAATAGTAATAATAATAGTAATAGTAATAATAATATTGATAATAATAATAATGATAATAATAATAATAATATTATTATTATCATTATTATTATTAATAAAAGTAATAATAATGATGATAGTGGTAATAATATTAACAAATAATAGTAATCATGATACTAATAATGTAATAGTAATAATAATAATGATAATGATATTAGCAATAACAACTATTGATAACAATAGTTATAATAGTTGTAAAAAATTATAATAGTGATAATAATGATGTTAATGATGATGATGACAATAATAATGATAATAACAATAATAATAGTAATGATGGTGATAATCATAATGATGGGAATTATAATAGTAGTTGAAATAATGATAATAATATTAATAACAACAATGATAATAATAATGATAATAATAATAATGATAATAATAACAATAATAATAATAACAATAATAATAAAGATGATGATAATGATAATAATAATAATAATAATAATAATAATAATAATAATAATAATAATAATAATAATAATAATAATAATGATAATAATAATAATAATAATAATAATAATAACAATAACAATAATGATATTGATAATAATGATAACAATAATAATAATAGTAATAATAATAGTAATAATAATAATAATAATAATAATAGTAATAATAACATTTATAATAATAATGATGATGATGATGATAATAATGATAATAATAATGATAATAATAATAATAAGGATATTGATAATAATAATAATAATAATGATAATAATAACAATAATAATAATAATAATAATAATAATAGTGGTAATAATAATAATGATAATAATAATAATAATAACAATATTGATAATAATAATAATAATAATAATAATAATAATAATAATAATAATAATAATAATAATAATAATAATAATAATAATAATAACAAGGATGATAATAAAAGTAATGAGAGTGATAACAAACACCATAATAGTAACCATATATAATGAAAATATGATAGTACTAACAACCGCAACAAAACAACACCAATAACCGAAATCAATATAATCGTTAATCATACATCACTCTCATAAAAAAAAAACAATGAAGAAACTATAATAATAACAACCAATAACAACCAATAACCACAAAAGAAAAGAAGAAAAGAATTTACATCAATGTCTCCAGATCTCAAAAGTCAACCAACTGTGCCGTCACCTGTTTCCTCATCCGGGACTCGGGAAACAATTCAGAAGTTTCAGCGAAATATTTGTCTAAATTCTTTCTATAACTTCGTGTGACTGTAATTCATAACTCGTGATTATGTATGACTCGTGACTCATTCGTGTGATTGATTGTAGACGTATTATAGGGTCGAAACAGGTGATTTATTCATTAAGACTGACTGGTGACTCGTTAATGTGACTGAGTGCCTGACTGACTGACACTTAACACCCGCCTCGCTGACTGAAATTAAGGGCGGGGTTTTAGTCATGGCGTCTCAGTGGAATGTTTACGAGAGTTTCCAGGCTCTGTTGCAGGTAATATGGTGTATTTTTGATTTGTTTTGTTGTTTTTTAAAAGTTTGGTTATGTAGGCCTATATCAAGGCGGTGTTGGGTCTGCCTTTGAGAAGCCGATTTTTACCTATTATTGTTTTACTTTGCTTTTCTTTTACTTCTCTTTGCTTTGGGGGTCATCCCGGTTTTTAAAGAATTATTTTCACAAGTGTACCAAAGGCACACTCCCCCCCCCCCCCAAGATCCCCACCCCCTTTATAATGTACTAAACTAAATGTTAAAAATTATCTCCAGGGTGGAAGGGAAAGCATTGATACTGACAGATTCTAGCAGGTAACTGTTATAGGACACCTTGGATTACTCTAATCAGCAAAGGATGTCCTGTCTCTGTCCCTGGGGCTCTTATCATCAGCAGAATAAGATTAATTCTAGAACATATTAGTTTTAAGCGTGATATGCGCTAATTGCTCGGTACCCCATGCTTTAATCCTGTGGAGATTGAGATGTAAATGTAAATCTGTTTTGGAAATTAAAAATCTCAGATGACACATATCTTCCAGTCTTGATTTTAGCAGCACAATGTAGAGGCAGTAAATAAGTTTCTAACTTTATATTTGGTCCGGATCGTCAATTTTATAATGATCTTAAAACCAAAGATTATCTTACACCAGAGCTTATCCCCCTCCCCCCAGCTTACGGTTTATACTCTCATGAAAAGGATGAGAAAGTTGGGGGACTCCTAACTGTGCATTTCTCTGCTTTATAGTAATTTTGGTATTGGCCAAGTTTCGCACAGCCATCTAACATTGCAATTATTTGTTGCATTTGAGCATATATCAAAAAATATGAAATTCATTCTTGATATTGATATAGATCATCTCGGCCATCTAATGTTGCAATCATTTGTTGCATTTGAGCATATATAAAAAAATGTGAAATTCATTCTCCTTAATATGTTATAGATCATCTCAGTCCTCTCAGGCTTTCCAGTGACTCTTATTAATATGATTGTTCTTGTATTATCAGGCTGGGCCATACCACCTGGCTCTAGAGGGAGTGCTGGTGCTCTGCATTATATGGCTCTTCACCGCCAAGAAGCAGCCCTCAAAGCTCGTGCGGCTGACCAAAAAGGTAAGAACGATGGAACAAATTCTTTGCTGGTGATTTTTCATGTAAAAGTTGAAATTTCATAGTTTGGTATCATTGCCCAAAAACTAAGCAATTGTTTACAGTTTGATATTAGTAAGAGGGTTGAAGTAACTATTTACATGCCTTGTTACATTTCCAAATGAGACTTTCTTGTACTTATACTGGGTTTGTTCTGTCCAGAATCACTTGAAAATTTCTCTGATTTATGATAGAAATCTGACAATCTGAAGTCAAAACTAATAGCTATGTAGTGTCAGGCCTAAGCCACAGTGTCCATGCTTTGAACTCTGGGAACGACTAACAGACTACAGAAATAGAACTGCGACTGATTCTCATTTGATGATAAAGTAGCATGAATTACTATAAGCTCTGTTTTCCCTGTGGTTGACACCTAGTTTTCTTGTAAATATTTACCCAGTGTTACTATTTTTAGTTAGATTTATATGATATGTTTGAGACAGAGTATAAATTGTAATTACTAGTCAAATCTCTACTAGTTTTGTATCTGTAAGATTATGTACTGTCTGTATAATTTGAGAATATACATATATATGTTGTGTTGTAATCAGGAGGAGGAAGAGCTCATCGCTGAGTGGATGCCGGAGCCACTTGTGCCAAACCCTCCGCCCGAAGACCACCCGGCACTGCACACTCGCACTGTCTATGGAAAGGTAGCTGCTCATGAGGCTTCAGGCTTGAGATCTATCTTTTTTTTCTATCTCTCTTTTTGTAGTGAGTCATTGTTGTCACTTGAGTAATTGTCAATAGAGGCATGAATGAGAAGGAGTATTTATGCAAGCTGATTTTCATTGAAAGTATTTAGAATTATTTTTTTTTGCTGAAGATTCTTTCATCAAAGAATTAGATGATCTATTTGTGATCTTATTCTGAGTTGCTGACTTTGAGCAATCATGTTTGAAGAATGTGAACAAATGTATGAAATATAGGGTCATTCTCAGTTTTGTTGGTTATTAGGGTTTTTAGGTATTAGTTATATATATATTTTATGTCACTCCTTGAGACACATTTTGTAATTTTAGAAACTGATTACCAGGAAATATTATTTTCTTCCTTGGTCTTGTTCATAATATACACTAAGTCACCCACTTAACATATTGAGACTGAATTGCAATACATTGTTTGAAGGAATATTAAACATACCTGATAAAGCCTATTATAAGCTGGAAGAGGATTTTTCCTTTATATTCAGGGGACAGTCATGGATAACCTTGTAAGTGTTGTTTTGGAAAGATTGTTGCAATGAAACTGCCTTGCTTGGAACTGCTTCATGTTTATGATTGCCTTCTGAGCTCCATGAATAAGGATGATATCTGTTGGATAAATGGGAAATATTACATATCCATTTCACACATGAATTAGTCCAAATAATTATTAGTTGTTTCAAGAAATTTGGTCTGGAAATTGTGGATTATTTCCTGAAAATTATGAATTATATCTTGTGATCATATTTATTTGCCAAGTTGAGATTGGTAATAGTTCCAGTGAATGATATATGTATTAATAGTAATTTTTTGAAAATGCATTGGAGTTAGCATTTCCATCCACATAGGCACATATTTTAGATATAGATACTGTAAAAAAGGGATGTTTAACTTTGTTGTTTTGCACTTGCTCATGCACAAGCACATGCAAATATCATTTGCAAAGCAATCTCTTATCATTTATAATTACTTGAGGAATATACAAATTAAATGCACACACATTTTGCACTTATGCACTTGTATACTTATTTTTTACTCATTGTTCTTATTTCTTATGTAAATAATCAAAATTGATATAACTTGCACTCAAGTATGTGCCATTTTGATTAGCCCTATTTCTTAGAACTGCAAAGAAGTTTATGTTCAATAAATGAAAAGTATTGAAATGTTGGAAACTTCATAAGAAAATAGGGTATTTGCATTTTGGAAATATGGAATCATATCACCATTTATTACTCTACAGGCTGGAAAGTATTTAGACCTAGGAAAGGGAGAGAAGTTACTGAACTTGGGTACACACAATTACCTGAACTTTGGAGAGCGTCCTGAGATTGAGAAAGCGGCACTTGAATGTCTCCACACCTATGGGGTTGGGTCTTGTGGGCCCCGTGGCTTCTATGGTACCACGAGTAAGTATCCAAACTGTTTTAATATGCGTGTCTTCTTCTATTTGAAAGGCTGCTTTTATATTAAGCTTTGTATATTAGTAGCCATGAATTATAGATTACAAGCCCCAATCACGCAAAGATGTATTCTTGGATATTTTTTTGATTCAGTATCTAATTTTTTCAACTATTTTTTTTTTTTCTTTAAGTATCTTTGTTAGAAAAATACTTTCCTCTTTAGGCTGATTTTGGAAGATGTAACTCCTGTCATTTTGAGCCATAAAATGTGAGAGTAGGGAGTTGCCTCCATTGTCATGGCATATATAGATGACATTCTTAGTCATTTTCTATTTTTACTAAAGTACAAAATTAAATGAATTTGACCAAACTAATTCTAGTAACATAGCTATTTGTTTCATCATCAGAGGTCCATCTTGAGCTGGAAGAAAGACTGGCAGAGTACTTCAATTGTGAAATGGCAGTCCTCTACTCATACGGCTTCTCAACAAGTGCATCTGCTATCCCTGCTTATTCAAAGAGCGGTGACATTATATATGCGTAAGTGGCAAATAGTGGTTGACACTTTTTACTGGAAGAAGAAAGCTAAATATACTGTTTGGCATGTATGTTAGTGATGAATGTTGAGTTTGTTTATGGATCGAGTGAAATGTTTTTTTTTGTCAGAAGAAGAGAAGTGTTGAGGTGACTGGAAGGAATTAAGATAATTAAAATTATAAAAGATAAAGGAACAAGAAAGAAGAAGAAGAAAAAGTCATATTTTTAGTTGGGGTATCTACTCCCTGTGTAGTGGGGTTTTGTGTCAGATATGATTATGAGGCAAAAGATTCAATCTGTGATAAGAATTTTTTTTTTCTGGAAAAATGGTTTCTTTTATTGTAAAACTGTTCAGTTGGTAAAGGGTTCCAGTGTGTCTTAGCCCAACGTGGGAACTGTCAAAATTTCCATTCCCAGGGATGAGATGGTGAACTTCATTCTTCAGAGGGGCTTACAGGCCAGCAGGAGTCGCATTGTATACTTCCGCCACAATGACATAAATCACCTGGAGGAACTTCTCGAAGAGCAAGCCAAGCAAGATAAGAAGGTAAATACTTATTAGATATTATTTACTTTTTTACTTGGTGGTTGTTGTACTGAGCATTAAGTTTATTGCTTTTCTTGGCTTCACAAGAACATTTATTTTGTTCTGGTTGCTTACTCTAATGACTTATCCAAACCCTCAGGATCCCAGGAAGGCAAATGCAACACGCAAGTTTCTGGTAGTGGAAGGCATTTACATGAACTCAGGTTTGATGTGTCCCCTTCCCGAGCTGGTTAAGCTGCGTCAGAAGTACAAGCTGCGCCTCTTTATTGATGAGTCGATCACCTTTGGAACCCTGGGGAAGAACTGCCGAGGAGTCACCGACCACTTTGATGTTCCGGTTAGTGTGGTTTTCGTAACTTATAAAGTTTAGTGTGAATCCTTTTTTATACTTTGAGAAGCTGTGGCTAGAAATTGGTTGAAATTCGTAAGTGTGATTTAGTTATAGTCACTGATTTAAGAAGACTGTTGCATTCAGATAATATTTGTTTTAGGAAACAGGTTTGAAAATACTTAAAGCAAATTTAAATTAAAGCTAATCTTCCCGGACAGATGAAGGAAGTAGACATGATCATGGCCAGCTTGGAGACCTCTGCAGCTAGCACTGGAGGATTCTGCGTGGGGACCAAGTTTGTGATTGACCACCAGAGGTTGTCAGGTCTTGGTTATTGTTTTTCGGCTTCTCTGCCACCAATGTTGGCAGCCACTTCCATCAAGGTTTGTGTTGAGTAGCACTTTGTGTAAATTGTTATTCAGGAGTGAGATAAATTGTCTGCTGTTCAGATTTGAGAAGATTTGACTTAACCCTAGAAGGTGACTGTATCTGCAGTTTAAGTATTTCCTGGTGCTTAGAATCAAGTTTTATTTATCATTTGCATAGATCATTTTAAGTAGTCAACTGAATAAAGCAATATAAAACAAATAGAAATCATTGATAATGGGCTGGCAGTGATTGGCTATCAGGTGTGCCTTTAGACTGGCAGATTTTCAAGTCATTTTTCTGTGACTGGATCAGCATTATCACTTTGAATGAAGATTTGCATACCCTTCCCTTATGGCTCTTCTTCCAAACAACAGGTTGTAGACATCCTGGAGAAAGAAGGGGGTGACCTTGTTGCAGAGTTGCAGGACAAGTGTCGGCTGATGCACAACAAACTCAAGGACCTTCCCTCTAAGGTGATTCTTCTTTGCATTCTGTTTTGGTGATGTATATATATATATATATATATATATATATATATATATATATATATATATATATATATATATATATATATATATATATATATATATATATATATATATATTATTTTAGTTCATTGTTTTTTAATGGTGTTATTCATGTTTTATTTTTTTCAATATCACCACCATTGTTGTTATAGTTATTACTTGTATGTTATTGATATTGATGATACCAATGTTTATTTTGATATTATAATTTTTGTTATTATTTACTTTATGCTATTATTATTGCTGTTATTATTATTATTATTATTATTGTTATTATTATTATTATTATTATTATTGTTATTGTTACCATCCTCCTCATCAGTGTTAAAATTATTTTCATTATTATTATTTTACGGTGGTCCTTTTCTGGTAGATTTTTTTTAGTAGATTTAGTGGAACTATGCTTTTTTTTTCTCATGCAGGTGACAGTCACTGGAGAAGACATCAGCCCAGTAAAACACCTTCGGCTTGTTGAGACCAGTGAAAGGGAGGTGGAAGAACAGATTCTCAGAGACATTGCAGAGAAGGTAAGCCTAGCTGCTGGATGAAATTTGTTTGTGATTGTATTCTTTTTCTCTTTCTTTCTCTTCAAATTGTTTAATTTTTTCTCCTCATTTCTTCACTTTTCTATTTTCTCTTTTCTTTCTTCTCTATTCTCTCTTTTTTCTCCTCTCTCCTCTCCTCTCTTCTTCTCTCCTCTCCTTTGCATCACTCTTCCTCCACTTCTCTCTCCTCTACCTCCTTCTTCTCCTCCCCTCACTTTTCATTTTCCATTTAATGTTAAAACTGCAGTTTAATAGAAAAGATCCTAGATAATTGAATTGTATTTTGCCTTTTTAAAATGTAGAAAATTATTTTTTGTCTCATTCACATGAAATAATTGGGATTTTTTTTTTCTCTCCCATAGGCCGAAAACTATGGTGTTGCACTGACAGTGTCCTCTTACCTATGGGACAAGGAGGCCAATCCCCCCAAACCTTCCATCCGTATCACAGTGAACAAGGACCTCACAGAAGATGAGGTGGATAAGGCCTTGGATGCCATAACGAAGGCAGTGAATGACATCCTTGGGTAGAAGGGGCATGAGGAAAAGGCAGTGTTTTCTTTTTGTTCTTCTCTTTTTTTGTTGTTGTTGTTTTTGTCACTGTTTGATTGTTTTGATCCCAAGATAGAGTGTGTTATGTTAGGCTTGGATGCTGCTGCATGTTGGCTTTGGAAGAGGAAGAGTGATGTTGGCTCGGGCACAGACAAGGAGAGATTACCATAAGGAAGTATGCTAAGATTCTCCTGAAAGTCATTCTGTTGTTATGTAGTTATATAATATCGATAGGTTATGGAACGTTTAGGAAAAACGCTAGAATTTGTAACCTTCCTGATTTGAAAAGAGGATTTCTATCAAGAGCAAGAAGGGATAGATGATGTTTAACAAACTACTTAATAAAAATGGAAAGAAGCATATAACTCCTTGTGAGTGGAATTTGTTTGCACAAAAAATACTTGTGATTTATGATTGGAAGTAATTGGATTGACCGGTACATGATATCTCTTACAGTGAGAGCTTGATTCTTAGAAAAGACACAGTAACCAAAGTCTAGTATTATATGTTTTAAGGTTGCAGTATTTGTACAATAACACATTTGTCAAGATTGTAACAAGAATTATATATTGTTGCTACTTGTTTTTCTTATTTTTTGCCATTAAAAATGATCTTATTTCTTTGCAATATTTGTCAGTTTATGAACACAAACCAAGCTGAATAGAGGACATGATAGATCATGTGTAATTAGTTCTGGTTGACTTGAATATTTTTTTTTTCTTTTCTTTTTTATCTTTCTTTCTTTCTTAAGTGATGATTGAAGATGGAACATAACAAGGTAAATGCCAAAGAATTCTGTAGCAGGATATATGTATCATACATTACTCCTTTCATGATAAAATAAACTTATAAAGACTAGTGGCTGTGCTATTACCTATTGGTAGCTTATTTGTGACATTTACTTAAACACACACAAAGTTGTGTTAATTAATGTCAGTAATATATATAGCTTGCTTATATAATTGTATAATAAACCTATTTGACTCACTTCATAGGTTATTTTGAGGTCTGCCTGATTTACACATACTGTATGCAAGTTTTGCTTCATATTTAACAAATAGAATTAGTGATATTAAAAGCACAAGATTACTTGAGGTACGGCTTTTCATTTCTAACTATAACAATATTTTGCTCTTTATTTAACAAATATCATTAATGATGCTTGAAGTTAAAAAAAAGGTTTAGTACTCTTACAAGATACTGTATTTTTCCATTCATCTGCAAGTCAGTTGAGCCAGTTGAGTACCTGCATCTAAGATTGATTAGCCTTTTATTGATTGTATTGGAAGAAAAGTGTATTTGTTTTTGTCTTAATTCTGGAGATGCATTGAAAGTTTCAACATTCCTTGCTTAGGCATTTTTATAATGGTCATTGCCTTATTGATTTTATGTCATTTGTTCCTTTGTTACTCAGTTTATGATATGGTCATTTAGTTTGTAAGAGATGATGACTAGTGGACTTGAAGTTCAGCCAGAAAGGAAGTTTATTAATACAATTAAATTTAATATATATATATATTTTTTTTTCATTATTCATTCTCTCATCATATATAATTCAGTTTTGTAGTTTCAACACCTCTGATAGACATTCAATTCACTTAGCAGGGGAAAATGATTTGGTTTGTGAAATTTAATAGGCCTGATTATTTGCATGTTGATGTTATTTGTGCACTTCGTTTCCACTTTCACTTGTAGAACTTTGCACTATGTAAAAGGCAAATTAATAGCTGTCATTTTAGGCCTTTCTTTGATATTTGTGCACGTAAATATTCAACATATCACGGGAATGAATTTTATGCACAGAGAGGTGCCAGTTTATTAGAAAGCGGTAAGATAAGGAGTAAATGTTAGTATTCTTTCACTCCTAATAAACCAGGTCTTTCCATTATGGAATTTTATTTATACACAGGCATGCATATCGGTAATGAGAACACATTTTCCTTCCATAGTTTAAGGAGGAATATAGAGAGAAGTGATATTTGTGTATGGAAATTTGAAGTTATACCTTGAATGCCATTTTGACTCTCAGGTGTCAAGTCTTTTTCATATTCAGTTTAAAAATTGTGAA